TATATATATACAACAAATGGACATGAACTAAAGAGGGGGAATGCGGGTAGGATGGGGTATGTAGGGCAGAGGGAATAAAAGGAGGAAGATGGGACAACTGTGATGCTAAAACACACATACACACACAAGTGGGCACTTGTTCTCTCTCACAGGCATTAACCCAAACAGACCCTAAAATGCCAGTGCCTCCTCCTGTCTGGCTCATTTCCTTCCTGTGCCCATACATACTCCCAGGCTGGTTCTTGGTCCTCTGACATCCCTCACTCACTCCCAACTCCAAGCCCTGCTGCCCAGGCCCACCTCCATCCAGGTGAGCACAGGCCCACAATTGAGGTTACTGTCCACCAGTCCTGACAGGGTCTCCAAGTATTGCAGCAGCAGTGGCACCAGCATCTGTGATTAGATGGTCAGGGTGAGCTCTTACGAGGAGAACCCCAGTAGAGCCCACTGCCCTTCTGCACTGCCTTTGCTTGCCTCTAGGCAGGGCAGAACTTTAATCTCAATGCATGGGTGCCACTCCACTGTTAAGTACCAAAATATTATCGTATCAGTTTGCACACAGGCTGTGTCAAGCTCCTTTGTACTTCCATTGGTCTGGTCATATTGACCCCCCCATGGAGCACCCCAGAACTCCCCATAATCTTAAAACAAAAGGGAGCCTCCAGAACCTTGCTGCAGTCCTAGGGGCCACTCCATTCTGATTGGTGGGACTCAAACCATACTCATGTTTAAGTATTTATCAATCCCCCCTACCTTAATGGTTTCATACATCCATGATGAGGACACACCATGGTTGAGGCAGGGATGGGATAACAAGCGGCTTACCTGGGAAGCCCTGGCACCCTCTGGAGGTGGGGGAAGCTCTGGAAGACAGGAAAATCTCCGGTCAAATATGCACCGGTGGAGGTGGGCATCCAGGGAGCGGAAGTCATCATAACTGCGGAGAACTGGCCAGGAACGGCCCTGTGGGAGCAGGAGGGACAAAAAGGAGAAGTGGTTCTACCTCACTGAGCTGCGGACCATGGCAACCAGTCCATCGGGCTACATGAAAAGCAGGGGTGGACTTACCTGACAAGTCACTTGCACCCCAAACACTAGCTCATTCTCCGCAGAGAAGCTAGAGCCTTCACGCTCTGGAGACAGCAGGAGCTGTAGAGGGAAAGAAAGGCCCAGGTGAAGTCCTCACATCTGTTCCAGGCCTAACCTCTCCAGGTGGCACTATCTAGGGATGAGGCTATGTTCCCTAAGGGCAGAGCCTGGTGATGCCTCAATCAGAATACAGAGTCTTAGCACAGAGTGGACACCTAACAAAAAGTTGTTGCTGAATAAATAAAGAAAAAAATGCATGAATGGTAAGCAGCTCTCCCCTTCTGTCCTGCAGCTCCCATCACTGACTGCTCAGATGCGTGGAGCAGCCAGTCCCAGGGACCAGTCTTAGGGGTAGGGTAGCTGACATTGCTTCAGGGTTGGATGGGATTCATCTTCTCACCTGGGGGCAAATCCTCATACCTGAATGTGGCCAAAGTCAACATTCTCATAGTGGAAATGGGCACAGTCAGCCAGCCGAGGGAAGGGACCTCGAGGAGCTGAGAGCCTGGGGGACAGGTGACACATCACTAGTGGCTCCTGCACTTGGCCCCCTTGTAAGCTGAGCCACTCCCTTACTTCTCACCTCTTCCCAGGCTTCCCCTTCACACTGGGCGCCCCAGTTGGAGGTAGGGCCTGCACTGAGCCCTCCCCTGAGCCATCCAGGCTGTCAGTGCTGCGAGCCTGTGGAGCAGAAAAAAGAATCAGAGGACCCCAGAGATGGGAGCAGAGAGACAACAGGAGTATTGTTATCTTCCAGTCTGGGCCTAGAGACTAAATCACTCTTTATAGTGGAGTAGCAGAGTAGGTCAAGGGGAGGTGAAGGCCAGGCTAAGGATAGGCCTTCATCTTCCTGTGTGGTCTGGGGTTGGGTGGGGGAAAGAGCAGGGGCCAGAGGTGAGGCAGGGAGAGAGCATGCTGGTACCATGCCTCTGGGTTTAAACTCCTCTTGTAGGCCCTTGACAGTACAGTCATCTTCCACTTGTGCCTCTCCACACCTCTCAATGATGTCTGTACAATCACAGCTTCCATTTTCTCAGTCTTCCTGCTCTCAGCCTCTCCTTTCCTGCCAGCATCTTTTTTTTTTTTTTTCCTTTATCAATGTATGGTTGCTTCTGGTGCATCACCTGCTGGGAACTGGCCTGCAACCCAGGCATGTGCCCTGACTGGGAATTGAACAGCGATCTTTTGGTTCGCAGGCCCGTGCTCAATCCACTGAGCTACACCAGCTAGGGCTTCCTGCCAGCATCTTCACAGCAAGCAACAATGTATCTTTCACACAACACAATCCTACCTGTCTCTCCACAGATCACAGACCTTCAGTGGATCCCTGTTGTCTCGAAGATAATTCCCTGATCTGTTTGCCTCTCCACCCTCATCTCTCCCTATTGCCTCCATTCTTAGAGTTCTCAAATTTCTGAGTCTAACAAAAGCACCATTTTCTCATTTCCTTCTAGGCCTTTGGAAAAGGCGTTCCCTCTGCATGTAACACTCTTCCCTATTCTTTCACTAGGTTCACCCTTCTTCATCAACTCTCATGTTTCCTCCTCTCTAAAGTTCTCCCTGATCCTTCAGGTTGTATCAGTCACCTCTTCTGGACTCCTCCATCCTGAGGTTCCCCCATCCCAGGCTTGATGACTCTGCCTGGGATGGCAGAGTTTCCCCCATCATAGCCCTGAGCACTCTGAGATGTCACTGTCTGGTGACGAGTCCAACTTCCCCACTGGACTGTGACCTCCCCAGGATCAGGGCCTGGGGCTGAGCCCTCAGCTCCCCAGCATTGTCCAGCACAGAGCTAGGCACAGAATTGGTACTCCTCACAAGTAGGGTTGTGTCTGGCTCCTTGCTGGGTCCCAATGCCAAGTGTCAACCCAGTTGCCAGTGGGGGTGGGTAAAATCTGATGAATAAATTAACCAGATACCAGATGTGGACTCCCCAAACTGGGCTCTAGCTTCTCCCTCCTTCACATCCCTGCAACCCCAAGTTCTCCTTCATCTCCCCCTCAGGTCTGTTCCCCTCCAACCCATGAAACTCCCAAAGGCAGGATGGGACCTAACTCTCTTTGTGCTTGGAGCATGGGCTTGCAGAGGTCTCAGTGAATGTTTATTATGTGATTGAATGAAGAAATAAGATGGATGAATAAGCAGAGCAGCGTGGTGGGAGAAGGAGATGGAGGGGAGGGAGGATGAAGACAAGATGGAGAGGAACTAAGGACCAGTGCTGCCTTGGGGTTGGGGTGGAGTAAGGAGGCCAGGAAGAGCTGGAAAGCTGAAGTAAAGATTCTAGCTGGTGGGAGAAGAGAATTGGTTGAGAGAGAATGGGATGGGGTGAAAATAATAAGAGAAGAAAAGGGTTAGGCTGAGGTGGAGCTGAGTGGGGGTGGGGCTAGAGAAAGAGGCTAGTGGTAGCAGGAGGAGGAGGCTAGGCTGGGAAGGGATGGAGGCTGGGATAAAATGAAGAAGATAGCTCTGGGATGGGGGGTTTGGCGGGGTCCCAGGGAGCTTCAGCAGGTACCTGCCGGGACCATTTGGGGGATGCCGGGTCCTTCCCAGGACCAGTCCCTCCCAAGTCCAAGCCTTCAGCCACAGACCTCCATCCGGGGTGTGGAAGGAGATGCACGCTGAGAGGGCGGGGCAGAGTAAGGGCTTGGGACCAAGACCAGGCTGGGGGACAAGAGGACCCGTGTCTTGGGGTGAAGGGCAGTGCAGGCCTCGGGCTCTGACGCGGCCGGGGGCGGGGTGCGCGCGGTGGGGCCGTGCATGGACAGACTGCCACGCGGACCGACTGACGGCCGCATAGGCCCCCTCACCACCATGGTCGCGTGGCCTCCTCAGGTGCTGGCCGCGCTAGATGGCCTCGATCGTCGTTGTCCTCGTCGCGGATGCTGCCGCCATGGCGACACAAAGGGGTGGGCGCGAGCAGCGCGCTGGCAGCTGTAGGCTCCGCCCCTAACCGCTGCCTGTGGTTGAGGTGCTCGCCCCACGGGGGCGGGGACAGTAGGGACGACAGGCAGCCCCTCATTGGCTCCACCCTGCCTGAGGCGTCCAGCCCACAGAGCGGCTTTTTATTGGCTTTGGCTTGAGTCCCTCCCCAGCTGGGTCTTGCCCAGATAAGCTTGACAGCGCCAGGACCACGCCCATGACTACTTTCATTGGCTTTCATGCCCGATACACACACATTAATTCTTTTTATTTATATCTAGAGAAAAGGGAAAGGAGAAAGAGAAATATCGAAGTGAAGATACACTGACCAGTTGCCTATCGCACGCGCCGACTGGGAACCTAGCCCATAACCCAGGCATGTGCCCTGACTGGGAATCAAACGTAGACCTTTGGCTCAATCCACTGAGCCATACCAGCCAGGGCTCAACTTTTTTTCTAACACTTTTAATGCAAAGTAATGGACCCTACCCTTACTTCACTCAGTGACCTCTCCTCTGACACTCATAATTGTATACTCCCATAGGCTCAGGGCTTTTCTCCATCTCCAAGCAGCTTTTCAAAGTCTCAATCCTCTAAACCTCTCACCTTGTGAGTCCTCACCCCAGCCCTTTCCACAGAATACTGAGGACATTAGCCCATGGATAATTTCTATTGGCTCAGATGCCTCTCCTGGAACATAACCCTAGGCACTGTGTGACTTAGCTCTACCCACTGGATATTTTCCTTGCCTTCCCTACTGCTTATTACAGGCCAGCTTCCAGCCTTATCTCTTTTCCTAGAAATAAGTTTAGCCTGCAATGCCACAACACAGCCATGCCCCCCATAAAGCCAATCCCAATCATTCTCCCCACCACTGACTTAGTCAAGTTCAGAAAACATTAACAGTGACCCTTTCAAGATGAGACTCCCACTGGTCATGCCTTCAACAAGGCTCTTAGTCTCAAAAGGTACATCCTTGTTTTTATTTTTTTAATTAATTTTAGAGAGAGGAAGGGGGTTAGAGAGAGAAGCATCAATTTGTTGTTCCACTTATTTTATGCATTCATTGGTTGACTCTTGTATGTGCCCTGATGGGTATTGAACCTGCAACCTTGGTGTATCAGAACAACACTCCAACTGAGTTGCCCCACCAAGGCAGAAGGTACATCCTTAATCAATCTACTCATTCATTCAAAAATTTCAATCACATAATTTGTGAAGACATCAGTAACCAAAACAGGAAAACACACTGCCCACATAAAACTCAAAAGCTAGTGGGAGCAAACAATGAACAAAATAAACATTTAAAAATATAGATTAGGTGATAAATTCTATGGATACAAACTAAACAGGGATTGGGGAAATGAAATGCTGGGGAAGGGGTCAATTTACAGCTACTTATTTCGATTTACTGAACTTGCAAACTTCACTCCCATCACAGATACTTCCTACATGATGTTCCGTCTACCCAGAGTATTCCTCTCCCCCCACTTCATCCTCTTTGGGCTGCAAATTCTTTGACACTTCTGTCATAAAAAAGTAGAGTATACATCCTCTCCCCTTTGAATCTGGGCAGAATTCAACCAATAAAGAACAGTGGGCCCTAGCTGGTGTGACTCAGAGGATTGAGGGCCAGCTTGTGAACCAAAGGGTTGCCGGTTCAATTCCTAGTCTAGGACACATGCCTGGGTGGCAGGCCAGGTCCCTAGGAGGGGGCATGTGAGAGTTAACCACACACTGATGTTTCTCTCCTCTTTCTCCCTCTCTTCCCCTCTATAAAAATAAAATCTTAAAAAAAAATAGTGGAATGGACACTATGTGACTTGCAAGGCTAAGGAGTAAGAGGCAATGTGGCTTTTTCCTTGTCCCCTGAACAACTAGCTCTAGATTTGTTGAGGCATCAAGTGAGAAATGTGACTTTGCTGAGGTAGTCATGTTTTGAGGAAGCCCAAGCTACAAGGAGACTGTGTACTAGAATCAATACTTCCAGCTGATCATTTGAGCCCTGGTGCCAGATTGTTTTATACCACTAATTTTTGGGGGTGGTTTGTATCCCAGCAACAGTATTTGAAGTGTCCCTTCACCAACTAGTTAATTCCTACCTGTCTCAGTTCAAATGTACTTTTCTCAGGAATCTTTCTAGGCCCTACTCACCCTTCAGCTAGATCAGGTTCTTCTACTATAAACATCTTTTAGTTCTTCTTATATCTAAACATCTATTTCCTTCTTGTTGGCTTGATTTTCTAAAAGATTTTATTTATTTTTAGACAGAGGGGAAAGGAAAGAGAAAGAGAGGGAGAGAACATCAGTGTGTGGTTGCCTCTCATGCACCTCACTGGGGACCTGGCCTGCAACCCAGGCATGTGTCCTCACTGGGAACCAAACTGTCTATCTTTGGTTTGCAGGCCCATGCTCAATCCACTAAGCTATACCAAGCCAGGGCTCATTGGTTTAAATGTATAGTTTGTTCAAAAAGGCTGAAAACAAATATTTACCATGTCTGTGACAAACAGAAGCTACTTTTTACAGAAATATACTCCATATTTTAAATAATGCCAAAATGGAAACTAGGTAGAAATCATATATTTTCTAATACAGTTTAGAACTTTAAAGTAGTATCATTTCCTCTGCATTCTGTTTATGAAAGTTAAAGTTCCATCAAGGAAAAGAAAAGTTTCAAGGAAAAGAAACCTAGATTCTACTTTCTGATGGGAAATATTTCAAAGAACTTGTTGATAAAACAATAGTTTTTAATAGTCCAGACAGATGATAATCGCCTAGACTAGGGTGAGGGCTGTGAAAGGGGAAGAAAGGGTTAAATTCTGGGTAGATTTTAAAGGTAGGGATGACAGGACTTCCTAGTCAAATGAGTGTGGGTGTGAGGAAAAGAGAGGAGTCGAGGATGATCATGAGGCTTTTGGACCAAGGAGGAAGCAGGACACTGAGGGAAGCTTGGGAGGAGCAGGTTTAAGGGGAAGATTGGGAGCTCAATTTAAAACCTGTGCAGTCTGAAACATCTTGTAGACTTCTGATTGAGGATGGTGAGCAGGTAGCAGAATATAGAAGCCTGAGGTTTAGTGGCAAGGTCCAGGCTGAAGATAGAAATTTAGGGACTATCAGGACAGATAGGATTATCCGTTAAGCTACAACAGCACCTGGGAATGAGTGTAGATAGAGAAATCAAGGCCAGAGCCCTGGACACACTAAAGTGACAGACTGGTGATGCTAGAAGCAGGGGAAGGGAATGCTTCAAGTAGGGAGGGCCCGATGAACCAAATGCTGCTGTAGGCTCAAGCAGGATGTGAACTGAGGACTAACCATTGTCCAGTACTCTGATAACCCCATTACTCTCAGTCCCAGAGGGCAGTTCCTTCTATCTCATATGAGACAGGAGGATCCACTCCTGAGTTAAGGTGAGTCCCAGACTTGCCTGTAGTCCCTTGTAGTCCTTGTCTGGAATCCCTCCCCTGCTCACCCTCAAAGGGGATGAAACCAGATAATTTTCTGTGTGGCAGGTCAGAAACCAGGGTGGGGGTGGGGCAGGACGGAGGTAGGAGGCAGGGGGAGCCATTTCCCTAAAATAGCATGATTCAGCCTTTCTAGAACTCTTTTTGTAGACACAACCAATAAACTGGAAAAAATTATTTCATTGGGAAAAACAGAATTTGTACAATTCAAAATCTTCTGGTCTCAAGTGAGGCCCCTTCCCTCCTCAGCAGTATCCTTGGTGACCTGAGGGTGGGGAGTGTGGTGACCTAGCTGGAGGAGACCAAGACCCTGGGTCTTCATTGTGGTCCAGCAAGAGGAATAATTGAGTGTCCACTTCCCTGGAAAAAAAACAGGTAGCAGAGACTGAGGTATATGCTCAGGACTGGGGCAGTGGACAGTTCTGGGAAAGGGGTTCAGAGAGGTGGGTGCTCTATGGGGGTCACAGAAGATTCAGGGTTCCAGTGTCATAAATCCTGGAGATAAGTCACCTTTTTTGTTGCTGCAGCTCCGCCCTCTGAACCCTTAGCACCTGCAGTACAGGGTCCTCCTGGAACTCACTACTGTCAGAGTCTGGGGAAAAAAGAGCGAACTCCAGGGGGCTGTCCCCACAATGTGCTGGACAGCCATCCGGATCCTAGCAGCCTTGCACAGATGCTCACCTTCAGCAGCCTGCAGAAGCCCAGCAGCCTGGGAGAGTATGTCCTCTGGTGGGGCGTGGTCAGTGGCAGACAATAATGTGACCCCAGCTTCTAGAGACTCCGCCTTGAAGCCTGCGGAAGCCTTCTCAACTGAAGGGGGCAGGAACTTGGGCTGAGACTGCCTGACTTCCTTGCAAAGCACCGATCCCACTGCAGAGGGCATGACCTTGGCTTTCAGAAACTCAGCCTTAGATGGATTGGGCGGTATCTCCGCCTGTGAAAACCATGAATCAGACAGAGGGGGTTTAACCTTGGTTTGAGAGTGTGTGGTTTTGATTTTTGGAGATTTAGCTAGGGATGGAGGCAGGCCTTTGAAGGGAGAGTGCGTGTCCTCCAGGCTTTCCGGGAATAGCCTAGCGGCCACTACCTGACCAAGAGGGCCTCTGAGCTGTGGACCAGGCCCTTGGTCAGCCACTGTGACCTGCCCAGCAGATTCATGGCAAGGGGTCCTACCCCTCTGAGGCTTGGGGCCCTGGTGCTTGGGCTGGGCGGGGCTGCATGCCTCAGGGTTGGGCAGGCCTGGGAGGGTGGTAAGGGACCTAGGAGTAGAGGCCCAGGGCAAGGCCCTGGAAGATACCCATGGACCAGTCTGTGGTGCCCAGAAAAACCCATCAGGGCTGGGGCCCCAAAAGATGTGTGGCGAGAACCCTGGGGCAATAGGCGGCCTCGCCACATAGAAGGCTTCACCCGGGGGATGAGGCCCAGCCACACTGCCCCAAAGTGGGAGGCAGTTGGACTGTGTTCCCAGAGAACCAAGGGTCTCTGCAGGGGCAGGCGAATTCTGCAGACAGGTGGGGACAGGGACCTAAAAGAGAGAACGAATAGTGTCCTCAGTCCCACTCAGGCCTCCTCTTCCTCCAACTTCCCTTAGGATCCCCTCAGGTGCTTCCCTTCCCCATCTCACCGTTGTGGTGAGGGCAGAAGTCCCTGGCAGCACCCAGGTTCCATCACCCTGACCTCCTTGAGCCTGTTCAAGCTTCCGCTGTCGCCGCCACTGGTACAGAATGTCATCCTCTGGTTGCAGGGGTGCCTGGGAGGAGCCCAGGGCTGGAGTAGGGATGGGGGCTGGTGCAGGAGTTGCTGTGGGGTAAGTAGAGGGAAGAGGTAAGATAGGAGCCAAGGCAATAAGGAACCAGGGGGTAACTGGAGTAAAGCGGGTACATAGAGCAAAGAGGGTAAGACAGGAACCTGATGACAGCCTGCACACATACCCTTTGACTGTACCAGAAGGTTATTCAGACAGGCTTTCCAGATAATGTCCCAACTCCACTCTGGAGTGGGAAGTGGGGAAGGGGAAGGGTCAGAGAGCAGACTCATGGACTTCTCAGCCTGTCATCATTCAATTCTTCCTTCATTAACAAGTGTTTATTGAGCTCTTACTATTGAGCCAGGCACTGTTCTGGCTCAATACAACAGTGACTCACAGCAGGGCCACTGGCTGTCTGACCCCAGTCCAGTAGGGCAAAACGACATCTTTCCCATCACCCAGAGCATCATTTCAACCGTGATGATCAGTAGGGCTACCACTGTCTCTCAGAAGCCCTACCATCTGATGCTGCACACAGAGGAAGGGGCATAGTCTCAGACTTCTCTCTTCTCCCCTCCCCTCTATATCCCCCCAAAAAGATATGTGGAGTGAATCCTGTGAATCTAGCTTCCGCTGCTGCCGCCACTGGTACAGAATGTCATCCTCTGGTTGCAGGGGTGCCTGGGAGGAGCTCAGGGCTGGAGTAGGGATGGGGGCCTGGCCACATCCTTCTCCTTTGCTCTTCAGGCTCTGGCCCAAGCCAAACTACCAGCATCTGTCTCTGGGTATTGATAGCAACCAGGAGCAGTTTGTTAACGCTCAAGAAATATCATGCATCTCCCAACTCAGACCCCCCCCCATGGCTCCCCAGTACTAAGATAATGACCGATTGCCTCCCCAAGCCTGCTTGGCCCAGTGTAATCTGATCCTTGCCAATCTCTCCATCCTTATCCCAAATGACTCTCACTTCCGGTTCTTCCCTTTTCTAGCTCACTGTCTGTACCATATTCCCTTCCACCTCAGGTTCTCTGTACGTGCTTGAGGGCTCTTGTCACCACCATCATTCAGCTCTCCATTCAGATAGCATCTCTTCTGGGAATGTCTTCTCTGACATCCCAACATCACAATCCTCTCCAGCATGGCCCTCACTTCTTACATTTCACATTTGTTTGTGAGGTAATGTAGCTACTCTCTGCGCTACATTAACTGTGTTGTGAGTACCCTGAAGATTATGCTTTGCATAGTAGGTTCACTGTGGAATCTCCAATCCTGCTCACAGGGCCTCACACACAATAGGAATTTAATGTTTGTTAAATGAATGAATAAATTAAATCTGCAATAAAACTCATGAAGTAGTTACTAGTTTTATCCTAATTTTACATACGAGAAAACTGAGACTCAGAAAGAAAAAGTGAATCAAAGGTGATGCTTAGGTGGAGGGAAGAATCAGACAGGCGTTTTAGCTGGATCACATGACATGCATGAATCTCTGTTTACTTGTGCCAGCCTGTTGCCATTCATGGGAGTCCCACGAGACACAGAGCACCTGTGCTCCAATGCATCGCAGGACCTGGGCACTGAGTGAAAGTCACAATAATGATGGCAGTAATAATAACTTAGGTCCTTAATCTCATCTCTGAAATTTTGGGAGCAGAAATTTGAGAGTTCAACAGTTTGCATGTTTTAGCAAAGTTGTATGGAATGAGAAGTGTAGGCAGGGGTCTGGTGTGGTACACCTGACTCAAACCCACTGGTATTCAGTTGAACAGTATGCAATTGCCAATATTCAACCATTTCTTACTTACACAGGCAAAAAAATTATATGGTTCAATGTAATATATCCACAGCAAAAAGTATGAAGTTACCCTAAATGAGATATAGATAGATAGATAATTTCCTTTTTATTGTTAAGGTCAGATTTTGCTGTCAAATTGGGTATGGTGAAAAATTTGCAAAAAGCATTCTGACTTTGGACCTCTATGTTCAGAGAGGCAGATGGGATACAGAGAGAGAGCTTGTTATACTAATGATAGCTACTTTTTTTTAAAACTTTTTAAAAGATTTTATTTATTTATCTTTAGAGGGGAAGGAAAGGAGAGAGGGAGAGAAATATCAAATGTATGGTTGCTTCTCGTGTGTCCCCTGCTGGGACCTGGCCCACAACCAGGCATGTGCCCTAACTGGGAATCGAACTGCGATCCTCTGGTTTGCAGGCCCGTGCTCAATCCACTGAGCTACACCAGCCAGGGCTAATGATAGCCACTTTTTAACAAAGTGGTGCTAAGTACTGCATGTATTCACTAACTCATTTAATTTTTACAACACCCACAGCAGGAAAGTACTATTATCCTTGTTTTAAAGTTGGGAAAAGAAGAAAGGCCCAGAGGGGCCCAAGGTCACATAGCTGGTCAGTGGCAGAGCTGGGATTCACACCAACTGCCCTCAATCCTTGCTCTCCAGAACTTACCATGTGCCTTGGAGTCAGAGCTCTTGCTGGAGTCAGGGGTGAAGGTCTTGGAAGAGGGAGAAAGGCCATCAGACCTAATGGGGAATGAGGAATTGTTGGCATTGCTGAGGCTTCGGGAGGAGACAGAGGCTTTGCTGTAGGAAGAAGGCAGAAGTGAGGCAACAGGGGTCTCAGAGGCAGTGGGCCAGGCCTGGAACCGCAGGAGTGGGGAGGATGATGGGGGTGGGGAAAGTACCTGTGTTTCAGCAGCTTGGCAGCTCTGCTTTGCAAGCTCAGCATCTCTAGGTCCAGGAGGGATGAGTTCCATGTACTGAGGCTCTGTGAGGTGAGAGGGTCAGAGGCTAGCTCCCATTCCAAATGCTGTTCAGAAAAGGGCTCCAGACAGAGGGCCTGGAGCACATATCTGCACTGCACCTGGTACCCTCACATGCTGGCTTAGAATCTGCTCCTTCTCAGGGAAAAGTGACCCAGTTTTCCTCTGTGAATCCACACCCCTGGATGCAGGCATTTTTGTAAAAGAATGGACTCTACTTTCCTGACTAGGCCTGGCTAATCACAACAATCTGTCCTCTGGTTCATGTTGATTTTGAGTGAATGAAAATAAGCCCTGGGGCTATGGATGCAGCTATTGAAAAAGACCCCTCTTTCCTGTGGATTAAATAAATTAGAAGCCTAGTGCTACTGGCCCATTTAGCTACTTTGAGGGGAAATCCTGCCTGAGACTGAGCCCAAAAAAGAAGAGACACGGTAGTCAAATTCCTCCCAATAGTGTTTAAACACCCAGATCCAGCTATGCCTGAAAACATTTACTTTTGGATTTTTCTTATTGTGGTAGCAAACAAATCCTTTTTTGTTTGTTTGTTTGTTTGGTTGGTTGGTTAAGCTTCCTGGAATTGGGGATTGACCCTAATTGTATCCCAGGGCTGATGCTGTCAGTTCAGGTACACAGGGGAAGGAGTGGATGGGGATGTCACCTGCTTTATTTCCTGAAGGGGGGCCAAAGCCTTAGCCTGTGATGCACCGGCCACCTTGGCAAGAGTCGGGACTACTGTGTTGAGTCTTCCTTCCAGTTTATTGGTTCCTGCTGAGAAGCCCCGATTGATTTAGGAGAGCCAGGAGGAGTGGCTGCTGGGAGCATTGAACAAGAAAGGTTTTAGGCCAACAGTAGATGGGCTAAAGCAAGTACCTGTTGCAAGTGTACTGCTAGGATCTGGAGATTCAGGCTGCAGCCACCAAAAGTCAGCTGGGGTTGGACCTGCAGTCTGGCGTTCTTCTCTGCTTGTGGGCTGAGCCTGGCGGAACCGGTTTATGAACCTGTGGGCCTCAGAGAATGGGAGGTGGGTGGGGTGAGGAGAACTAAATCATCATCATCATCATCATCATCATCACAATAGCCAATGCTATTGAGCACCATGGCAGTGTCTGGTAGTTGTCCCTCAATATCTGCTCGCTTTTCTTATACAATAATACAATATTATGTAAGACTAATACTGGGCACACAGCCTCTCTTCTAAAGATACATTTACCAGGTACTCTTGTAGCTTTATGGCCATGTAACTAGATTTTTGACTAACAGGGTATAAGGAGATATGATTCTGAAAAATGGGTGTTGTTGGCCATTTTGGTCCATGAAAGAAAGGGCAACAGCCTAAAGCTGGGAGGGCAACAAGATAGAAGAAAACTATCTTTGACCCCTCAATTAGGGGCTGCCATATCAGCTCTGGTTACTTCTGCCTGGACTATTAGGTGAGGGAAAAATAAATGCTACCTTGTTTAAGCCACAATTAATTTGGGACTCTTTGTTATAGCAGCTGAACTAGTGTCCTACAAATCCAAGTGCTCGCCATGGGGCAGACATTGCTGTAGAAGCTTTACAGACAGTTGACAGAAGTAGACAGGCCAAGGAGGAATGGAAAATCACCAGGCAGGAAACTACACCATGGGAAATTGTAGCCTGGGAAACTGCCTGCTGACCCTACCCAGGACAAACAAATGCTCACCTAGGATTGGGGTCTGGGGTCAGCCTATCCCACATAAAAGGATGCAGCTTTAACCCAAGGCTGACAAGATGTATCAAGAACAATGGTTAGCAGAAATGGCACCCAGCAACCAGCTCTAACCAATCAGACTCTGACACCCCAATCAGTTACCCTTCACAGGTTTTTGTGCTTAAAAACCCTGCCCTAAGAACAATTGAGCAACTTACTCCCTTGTTTGGCTCCCCAACCTCCCTTGGTTGTCTCCACTCTCCCCTTTCTCCTTGCTAATAAACCCTGCTCTTTGGCTTGCTGTGTCCAACTGGTTTCTTGAGCAACCGTGACCTAACAGTAACTCATTGAAAGCTTAAATAGCCCTAGAGGACATGTTATTCATATCCCCAATTTATAGACAAAAAAAAAAACGAACCTGAGGCTAAGCTCATATAGGAAGTAAGTGACAGAGCTGGGATTTGAACCTAGGGAACCTAGCTTCAAAGCTCTTAACACACATGAAATGTGGTCCTGAAAGTGCTGCATAAACAAGGATGGCTGTGGTGATTATTACAGGATGCCTGTTCAACCCCCCAATCTTTCTTGCCCCTCAGGGCTGATGGTACTTTGATGGTACTTACCTGGCCACCACAGAATCACCACTGTCAATTAGGGTGGGTGGCTGAGAGACACCAATCTGTTCCTCAGTGGTGCTGAGTGAGGAAGGGGTCCCTGAGCTGGATGACCAGGACTTCTCAAACAGCTCAGGGAAGTTGTGACCTGTGGCCAGTGCCTTGGGAACTTCTGAGATCCTGGATCTTTGGGACCCGGATGGGCTCAGGGTCTAAAATAGGGGAGGTGGGGAGAAGAAAAAGTGAGGCCTGGGGACCTCCCTGTAGGAAAACAAACACACATGATGTCTTAGTCCAGAGGGAAGGAAACACGTCTCACAATGGTAACAAACTTAGAGTAGATGAGGTTGTGATGGTGGTAGAGGACTGGAAAAGGAAGGGACACGGGGAGGGAAAGAGGGGCTGTCTCTTAATCTCTCACCTGCATCTCTTGTTACAGGTCCTCCCTCTAGTCATCACTTCCTTCCTACTGGGCTGGCAAACAGTACTCTGTGAGATGTCCTCACCTCCAGATGCCCGGTCTGGCTTCAGGATGGCCAATAGCAGCTTTGACTTAGGGGAGCATCCCCGAAGAGGCTGTCTTGGGTAGAGAAAACTGGCAGGCTGCAAGGGCAGAGTAGGGTTAGTAGGCAGAGCTTGGTCACTGCAGCTTGGGAGGAGTTGGGAGGGGAGTGCAGGGTGAGAGGATGGGAAGAGGAGGGCAGAACAGACTACAATTCCCGTGGATTCCTGTAAGAGATAGACTGTAATTCCCCTGGTGGACTCTCAAAAGAGAAGAATCTAGAACTTCCAGTCAAGTCAGTGGCATAAGCAGACATGACTTTCCTCTCTCACAACAACAACAAAATTACAACTGAAATATACAACAACCATCGCTTATAAGCAACATAAATTGAGTTGAATGGAAGTCTGACAACTACAAAATTAAAGAAACCACATCCATCAAGACTGGTATCCATGCAGATGCCGAACAGGCTGGTCTCTTACCCACATATGGTGGATAAACATGCGGGAGGGATATCCTGGGAACCAGGAGTCCCAGCCCCATACAAGGACCCCCAGCCCAGGGTTGCAGTGCCAGGAAGATAAGTTCCCACAACTTCTAGCTGCAAAAATCAGTGGGGATTGAGTCGGTGGAAGAACCTGCTAGAGCTCCAACCAGTTCCTTTTAAAGAACCCACACACGGACTCACCCACACAGACTCACTCCCTCTGGACTCCAGCAACAGGGTGGTGGATTGAGGGACACCAGTGGTGTGGAGGGGGAGGCTGAGGTGTTTGGTATGAACAAGAGCAGAGCCCATTTTCCCTTTTATGGGCCCTCCCCCAACAGAGTGGCAGACTGGTGCCTATCTAAGATTCCATCAACCTGGCTAACACTGTTTGACTTGCCTTGGAGATCTTTCTGCCATGCCCAACTTATGGGCCCCACACAAGGCGCTTTTCCATATAAATGGTCTTGGCTCATGCTTCACAACTTTCTAAATCTTCTCAAACAAGCAGTAGCTGGCCTCAGTGAATCCCGGGCCCAGAACTTATAGCCTATATTCACAACTTGGCTTCCCCTGGAAATCTTCAAGCCCAACACAAGTAGCAGCCATCTCAGATTGCTCTATAGCTAAGGCAGGGTGGCCCAGGCAAAATACAAGTGGGGGCTGATCCTGGCCTGCACCATCTGAGAAACCCCAGGGCCCAGGGCATGCAATGGACAGTATAGACCATGTCAGAGCACCACCACCCTGCTCCTGCACAGCTCGTCCTCCACGAAGGGTGGAGAGTAAATGGTCACAGCCAATCCTGGCAACTAACTGGCCTGGGTAAACCCCTTCCATTGATCTGCTGACAGCAACCAATTCTCAACTACAAGAAGAGGGTGTACTCAGTTCACACAAAGGGTGAACCTTGAGAACCCTGCTTGGGTAAAAGGGGAGGCTGTGACCCACTGGACCCTATAGGACACCTATTACATTAGGCCACACTATCAAGACACCAAGTCAAAGCAGTGCTACCTAATACATGTAAAAAAAAACAAAAAAACACACAGGGAGGCTGCCAAAATAAGGAGACAAAGAAACATGGCCCAAATGAAAGAACAGATCAAAAGCCCCCAAAAAGAAGTAAATGAAATGGAGATAAGCAATCTATCAGATGCAGAGTGCAAAACACTGGTTATAAGGATGCTCAAGGAACTTACTGAGGACCTCAACAGCAAAAGATCCAGTCAGAAACAAAGGAGACACTAATTGAAATAAAGAACAATTTACAGGGAATCAACAATAGAGTGGATGAAGCTGAGAATCAAATAGATGATTTGGAACATAAGGAAGCAAAAGAGAACCAATCGGAACAAGAAGAAAAAAGAATCCACAGAAAACGAGGATTGTGTAAGCAGCCTGTGGGACAACTTTAAGCAATCCAACATTCTCTATGTAGAGGTGCCAGAAGGGGAAGAGAAAGATCAAGAAACTGGAAATCTATCTGAAAAAGCAATGAAAGAAAACTTCCCTAATTCTGGTGAAGGAAATAGACATGAAAGTCCAGGAAGCACAGAGTCCCAAACAAGATGGACCCAAAGAGGCCCACAGCATAATTAAAATGCCAAAGGTTAGCTCTGGCTGGTGTAGCTCAGTGGATTGAGCACTAGCCTGTAAACCAAAGGGTGGCTGGTTCAATTCCCAGTCAGGGCACATGCCTGGGTTGCCCACCAGGCCCCTCATCGGGGGTGCACAAGAAGCAACACCACACATTAATGTTTCTCTCCCTCTCTCTCTCCATTCCCCTCTCTCTAAAAATAAATTTAAAAAATATTTTTAAAAAATAAAAAATAAAATGCCAAAGGTTAAAGATAAAGAGATGGCTGAGTGGGTATGGGAGAATGGGTGAGAAGTGAGGGGATTAAAAAGTACAAATAGGTAGTTACAGAATTGCCATGGGGATATAAAGTACAGTATAGGAAATGGAGTAGCCAAAGAACTTACATGCATGACCCGTGGACATGAACAAGGGTCAGCAGGGGGTTGCCTGAGGGAGTGGGGGGTTCTAGGTAGAGGGGAGCAAAGGGGGAAAAAAATCAGCCCTGGCTGGTGTAGCTCAGTGGATTGAGCGTGGGCCTGCTAACCAAAGGATCAATTCCCAGTCAGGGCACATGCCTGGGTTGCAGGCCATTTCCCAGCAGGGGACCCAGGAGAGGTAACCAAACACTGATATTCTCTCCCTCTCTCCTTCCCTTCCCCTGTAAAGATAAATAAATAAAATCTTTAAAAAAAAGAAAATAATATTTTTTAAAAAGGGGGGGAAATCAGGACAACTGTAATAGCATAATCGATAAAATATAATTTTTTAAAAAGAGAAGAACCCAGAAACTGCTAACCAGTGGTACTCAACACTAGGTCTAGTCTAGTTTTCTTTGGAAAATACAGTAGTTGTCTTTTGAAAATACAGATGTGTGGTCCCCATCTGTAAAATGTAAGAATTGTCTGGAAGCGGAAGCCAAGAATCTATCTTTTTCTCAGCATCCCAGGTGACTCTGAAGTGGAGCTTAAGTTAAGAACCACTGCTAAACCCAATCACTGTACATTTCTCGTAAATCCTTAGGCTACTACAGAGAGAAGGGTAGGGTAGATGGACTACAATCCCCATCAGTCACTGGGCTCGGCCTAAGCAAAAAAGGTCAAAAACAAAACCAAAGAAGACACTCATGGGAGTCTGGGGGCAATTTCCCAAGAAACTTAATTCTCAAGATGCCCCATGACCATCTTAGGAAAAAAAAACGGTCCGTGGGGCAATTAAGCGAGCGGAACGTAAGACGCTATGGGATTCCCCGGCTTGGAAATTGCAGTTCTACGCGATTGAGGAGGGACTCCAGACCCAGCACCCAAGCCTCCTGTGGTCCCCGGAAGAGAGATCCGGCTCACCTGCAGTTCATCGTGCAGCTACCTCAGCGATTCCGCCTGCTGCTCTCCTTCACCTAATTGACTCCGCGCGCCTCTCTGTTGCTTAGCAATGCCCTATCAGTCCCGCCCCTCCCCAGAAGTGCCCGCGCGGGAAGATAGCAGCTTCTAAAGTGACCAATGATAGAGAAGAAAATAAAAGTGATGGAATGTGACTAAAGAGGGCGGTCTCACGACTGGCTGTAAGAGCGGCCTGACTAAGAGAGCGTGTTTGATTGGAGAACTACACTGTGCAGCAGTAATTGGCAAGCCTGTGGACCCAAGGAAAGTACGCGAAACTGGGTTCGAGGTTAGGAAGGGGTCCTAAAGTACACTCGCTTTCCTGCAGTCCTGTTTTCCAACTACGCCCCCTCTTGCTGCGGGAATGTCATCCAGCCTCCATTACAACAACCGTTTTTTCTTGTTGCAGGGGCAATCAGGGAGACTGTCCCCTTTCTAAAGGGTGGCCCTCCAACAGTCGGACCTGCAGGCCTGTCCTGCACGTTACCTAACTACTGTTGTTTTGCTGCAGGAGCAGCTGGTTGCGCCAAGTGCCAAGCCCGGGCTTCTGGCCAGGTGGCTGGATCAAAAAGAGCTATTTCGGGCCAGGCGCACGGCCCCCGGGGGGCCAGCCTGGGCTGTTCTTGCCCATGCCCCCTGGCCTCTACTCATCTGGCAGACTCTGCTATCCTGCGCATCAGAGGCTGAGTCAGAGGCACAAAATTAGGTCCGGCTTGCCGGGGGGGCAGGGCTGAGATGGGAATAAGGTCTGTCCTGTATCCGCCCGACAGTTTGGCTGGTGCACTGCATTCCCTATACCCAGGGTTCTGCTCTTAACATTGCCATCTGCGTCATCTCCAGAGCTGCCTGCGGGGCAGGGGTGGAGTAAGGGCCTGGGAACTCTGCAGGAGAGCTTCTTAGGCCCTGGGTCTCAAATGCCGCGCTGTACTCGCCACTTAGAGTTGTTAGACAAGGCTCCACCTCTTCAGCCTTAGTTTCCCCTTTGGGAAACTGGAGAATCTTGATACCTCTGTGGCATCCAGCAGGAGCTTAATAAATGGCCAAGTCATTGTCGGCTTTCTAAATAAGGCTCTGTTAGTGTCTGGGTCTGGCCGTGGTCCGAATGTCCCAGGGCGCCCCGCGTGGGGGGGGGGAGCGGACACAGCGTACTATAAAGCAGCAGCTGCGCACGCTGGGACTCTACGAAGCGTAAGCAGTATCGGAGGAGGAGCAGGATGGAGATCCCAGTCCCCGTGCAGCCGTCTTGGCTGCGCCGCGCCTCGGCCCCGTTGCCCGGGCTGTCGGCAACCGGGCGTCTTTTTGACCAGCGCTTCGGCGAGGGGCTGCTGGAGGCCGAGCTTGCTGCGCTGTGTCCCGCCGCGCTGGCCCCGTACTACCTACGCGCACCCAGCGTGGCGCTTCCGGCAGCCCAGGTGCCAGGCTTGGGGAAGGGCTGTAATCCGACTACTTCCGAGGCTCGGGGTTTCGTCACCCCGGGAGTGAGGGGTCAGGGAATGGACAGTCCCTTGACTTTGGGCCGGGTGAAGAGTCCGGCCACTCAGAGGAGCTTCCAGAGTCCCCCAAATACGGAATCTCTGAGGCTGGATTCCTGAAGTGGGTCGGAGGTGCCTGTCTATCTGAGGAGGGACTCAGTCCTAAGGGTGAGGTAGTCACCCTGTCTTGGTGACTTTGAAAAACATTGGAGACCCAGGAAATGCTGGGGGAGGGGGGATGGAGCCCAGTCATTCTGAAGGGCTGGGGGACTTCCCAGTGATTCCTGCAGGGAGCGGATGTTTTGTTATTCTTGGGAAAGAGAGTTTGAAGACTCTATGTATCCTGGAGAGGCAGAGGGGAAGAAGGGTCCCGTGACTTGAGAAAGGGGGGGCCTGGTTGGGGGAGTACTGATTAACTGCTGAGGGCACAAATGGTCCCATGACACGAGTGGGAGGTTAGAAAGAGGACCCTGGAGACTGGAGAAGGGGCAACCTGGCAACTTCTGGCGGTAGGAGCAGGGTGTTTGTGGCAGCAAGGGCTCTGGGGGCTCTAAAAGGAAAGGGGCTGGAGTGAGTGAGCATTCAGGAGGAAATGTTGACCATGGGGTCATTGACACTGGGGGGAGGTAGGGCGGGCGGGCCTCACTATGTGAGGCGGAGGTCCTCACTTGGTGAGGGAAGGTGGCCTCATCACTCTGGGTGAGAGGTGGATGAGACTAGTCAGGATGAAGAGGTCATCAGTAGGAAAGGGTCTTCCCAGTTTCGGAGGTCAGGGTCAGCTGCAATATTAGAACTGACCGGGAAGAGCTTTGCTGGGGCCTGGGAGCCGAGTCCCGCCCCGCCCCAGGACTATTGGCTGTGCGCAGGTGCCGACTGACCCTGGGCATTTCTCGGTGCTGCTGGATGTGAAGCACTTCTCGCCAGAGGAAATCTCCGTCAAGGTGGTTGGTGAACATGTGGAGGTGCACGCCCGCCATGAGGAGCGACCGGTGAGCCGGCTGGTGGTGCAGATACAGAATTCCGGGCGGGTTCCTCAGGCCTAAGGAAGGGGGACAGCGATAGGGAAGAATAGGGCTACTCTATCTGGCCTCTCTCCTTCCAGGATGAACACGGATACGTCTCTCGCGAGTTCCATCGTCGCTACCGTTTGCCACCTGGCGTGGACCCTGCCGCAGTGACGTCAGCGTTGTCCCCTGAGGGTGTCCTGTCCATCCAGGCCTCACCTGTGCCCGCTCAGGCCCCACTGCCACCACCAGCTCCTGCCAATTAGGGATCTGGGCATGCGTGAACCCTGGTAGCTGCCGCAGGCACCTTCTTTTAAAGCCAAACTGACTCCGCCCAGCCAGATATCCCAAGCATGCCAAGATTCCCCCCCCACCCCCAGACCGGGATCCAGCCCAGACCCCTCCAACCTAGACTCATCCCTGATAACCTAGACCTTTTCCACTGGCACTCCTGCTTATATGCCATCCATTTTCAAACCCCAACACCTCCCTAGTTTCCAGACCCTGTAAGCCCTCAGCCTAGTCTCCTATTTACAAACTCCCTTTTTGGCAGATAAACCCACTCAAAACTCCCCATTTCCTCCTGTCTCCCTACGAAAATATCTTCGCTGTGACACCAGATAATGATATAGGTGGCTGTGTCCCAAGCCTAAACCAGTGAAGCGTAATCCACACCTGGGTAATGTCCCAGACTGTACAGACTTCCCACACCAGACCACCCAGGCCTGGTCTTCCCCTAATTAATCTCAGCCAGCCACCTTCAGCCTCTTGAATCCCTTTTCTGATCCTTACCCTTAGACACCTATTCTAGGCCAACCAGTACCCTCAACCTCAAAATGTAGATACCCTACCCATCTCCCCAGACTCTGCACACTGTTCTGACTCCCATCTCCAACTTTACCCAGGACCCCATCTCCAATCACAGGCAATCCACCTTCCAAACCCTTCCCCTTACTCTCCAAGATCCTGCCCAGCAGCCACTTGCTTTTATTCTCCACAATCTTTCTCCTTCCTTTAATTCCCTTCTATCCCACCCCGTCGCTCCTACCTAGCTCCACTTCCCCAATAAATGTGCTAGAGCTATGCCAACTGCTTTGCATCTGGGCCTGGAAGGATGGACTGGAGCAATCTGAGGCCAGTGTGAAGAGGGGAAATGTTTATTGGGGGGGGATGGGAGCAGGGGAACATCACTGTCGCTCATACATCTCCCGTAGGATCTTCATGCTTTCTGAGTAACGAAGCTGATTCCGATGAGATGCCTCCTTCCACCTGCAGTGGGGATGGGAAAGCAGAGGGAGGACTCAGCAGTCAGGACAGAAGCCATAGAGGGGCAGCAGGTTGGGGATGCTCACCTCTGGCGGATGCGTTTCCAGCGCTGCATGTTGCGGTAGATAAGTGTGGAGGGTGAGGGCTCAGGCTCAGAGGGCTGTGTGGACAGAAAGGCCAGGCTGGGTGGCCATGCCCAAGTCCTACAACATATGTCCCATAGCCCCAAGCAAGCCTTACAGACCCACCTCATCATCAGGGGTACCACGGGTCTCTGGCTGCAGTGGGGATGGAATTCGGGATCTGCAGGCATCTCCAGGTAGCCCTGGGGCTGTAGGAGGAGGCAGCTTGTACACATCACAACTCTTGCTGTTGGTGACCTCTGAACCCTGGGGAAACACCAGTACCATACCAGGCCCCAAAATGTCAGAGAAGAGGGCCAGGGATAAACATTTTACTCCTCTCGCCTTTGCCAGTGACAATGAACATGAGGGTCTCACCAGGGACCTGTACTTCTGAGGGATAGGAACCTTACCCAGCTTGGGGATCAGGTCTGTCCCAGGAATCCGTGCCTTCTTCTGTCCAGCCCAAGAACCCCCACCAGCCCCTATTCAACCAGTCCAGAGACTCCCATCTATGCCTGCCAAGCCCAGGGATTTCCCATCTGCTCGTTTAGATCAGGTGGCTACACCTGTTTAATATTAAGGATCCCTCTCTGTCCCCCCAGCTATTGGGGATCCTCATCTTGGAGGTCACACTTATCTGCACAGGGGAACCCTGCCCCTTCTTTGTCCCAGACCAGATAGCTCTGTCTGCTCTACAGAGCTCCCTCTATACCCCTAGCCTAAGGGTTCATATCTGTGTCTCACTGGATCCAGGAGACATTTAAGAGACACACAAACCTGTGCCTGTCTATCCTACTGGTTTGTGACCATCTACTCACTCACTCCCTGGCTGTTGGGCAGGGGCCTACCACCTATCCCACCTCTTCATCCTCAGGCAGTGGGGGCAGCGGTGAGCTGGGTGAGCGTTCATGCTCACGCACTGAGGGGCTGTTGCGCATCCAGGCACGGCAGATTGGGTACAGCGGTGTGTTCTCACTGAATTGAGCCAAGTCCACACTCCGGTCAAACAGCTTAATCACATATGTGTCTAGAGTGGTAGGAGCAAGAGGTATGTGAACATGCTTACATAGCCCCCTATCACTGATCACTCTCTAGGGCCACCACCTACTCACTGGATCGTTGTGGCCCTCCTTCAGCCAGTCCATCATCCATCTCCCTCCTCTTCTTCCTCCGCTGGTGAGGGAAGCGGGCGGATGGCCTGTGTGAGTTGGGAGAACATCAGAACCAGGGCTGGGGACCTCTTGTCACCTTGCTGGGACCCCTGCTACCTTACCGTTTCCCAGTGGCTGCAATGGAACAATCCCTGTGGGGAGAGACAGGACATTAGCAGGCTGACCCTTGAACAAATGCTTACTCAAAACCCCCAAAGGACACCCTAGCAATACTGAGATCAAGCCTGAGGTGCTCATATAAACCCCACTAACTCTGTAGGCCTTGTGTCCCATCCACATCCCCGGGGCTCTAGAAGCCAACTATGAGAGGACCTAACTTTCTGCTGCCATGGGGTCATTGTGCACGGAGTGGTTAGGACTGTGGTGGAGGGGACACAGTAGTCAGGGCTTAGATGAGAAAAGTCATTCACCACAAACCCTCAGATACTGATCCTATCAACAAACTTACTTGCTGTGGGTATCTGAGGGGGTCTTCCCGGCTTCCTCATCCAGACGCTCCCTGGTAGAAGAGAATATGTGGGCTCAGGGTTCCAAAGGCCCAGAGTAGGAAAGCAATGAGTGGCCTCTCTATTAGGCCCCTTCTTCCCTAAGCCAGGTTCTGGGTCCCACCCAGATCCACTCAGGACCAGAAGGCCCAATCTGCCAGGGTTCCCAACCCCCTATGACCCCACACTGGCTCAGAACCCAACCTGTCCATGTTACTCTTCTCCAGGAGACACTGCAGAACAGCATCCAGTTGGTTCCGAGCCTTAGCCATCTCCAACTCTGGGGAAGAGAGTACCAAGCAGGAGTCAGTTTGAGGCCCAAGGCAGGTGGGCAGCCAGCTGGGCTGGAGAAGGGCATGTGTACCAATCCTATGGCCAGGCCCAGGTGTGCTAAGAAGGTGAGGTAAGCTGACTACTGAAGCAATGAGCAAGAGCTCTGGATTCCAGCGCTGTCTCGCCTAAGACAAGTCACCTTACCTCACTGAATTTGTTACCTCGTCTTGAAAATGGGTCTCCAAGTGACACCTATCTGCTAGGACTATTCTGAGTTTTGTTTTTTTTTTCTTAAAGTATATTTTATTGATTATGCTATTACAGTTATCCTATTTTCCCCCCTCACTTTTATCTCTCTCCTCCCTGCAACGACCCCTCCCCCTCCAGCATCATGGGCAGTTCATGTCCATGTGTTGTACATGTAAGTTCTTTGGCTTCTCCATTTCCCATACTATTGTTAATCTCCCCGACTATTTTGTGCCTGCCTATTCTGCTTCTTATTCCCTGTACCTTTTCCTCCCACTGCCCCCCTCTCACTCCCCGCTGATAACCCTCCAGGTGATCTCCATTTCTGTGGTTCTGTTCTTGTTGTAGTTGTTTGCTTAGGTTTTGTTTTTTAGGTTCAGTTGATGATGGTGCTGTATGTGAGGGAGAGGTCAGAGAAGGAACAATGCTGTTTGCTCTGCTCTCATCCCACCTTCCATTGCTTCCCTTGTTTTTCACACAGCAGTTTGTGCCCTTTAAGTGCTGATTGGCAGGTGGGTGGGTTTATGCTCATTTTGGGACCCTGTGAGTCTCTCCAACAAACTGTCCTGGGAGGCTGGGAGTTTATCCTGCTGCCACAATCTCTGCAGATCTTTTCCACAACCTGTGGTTTTGAGTCTAGTTTCCCATGCTGAAACCCAGGGTTTCCCATTCCTTCTCACTCCTCTGCTTTCCCTCAGGCTTGTCCTTAGGCAATGTGAGATCACCCGTGGTCCACCAAGCCAATACCTTACCCACCCAGTCCTCCAACTGCCACCTTGCTGCATCATCTCCGCCCCACTGCCTGTTTCCACCCCTCCTACCATCTGGTTGAATGTTTTTTTCAGCTCCTTGGTTGTTGGACTTCTGTGCAAATGTTTTTCTGGCAGTTCTGGTTGTTCTTTGTTTTTAATTGGTTGTTTTTTCCTTCTTTTGGTTGTGCAAGGAAACAAAGCATTTCTGCCTATGCCTCTATCTTGGTTCCTGTTCTGATGTTTAAATAAACCTATGTTGTATAGGAATCTCTTAGCATAATGCAATAAGTAACATGTACAGAATGTTTATGTACCAAGCATATCACGCATATTAACCCACTGAATTCTCACATTAACCCTGGCAGGTACATATGATTTTTACCCCCACTTTACAGATCATGAAACCAAGGTACAGAGATATTAGGTAGTTGCTGAAAGTTACACAGGTAGGAAATTGCAGGGCTAAGAATTTGCACCCAGGCTAGCTGGCTCCACAGCTGAAATTATAAGGCAGGGACTCAAAGTGGGTGCAGATATGCTCTGTTTGGCTGATGCAGTGGTACTATTATAAATCAGAATTAAATTTGAATGGCCTGACATTTAATTGGGAGATTTCACCCAAAATACCCACTTTGCCCCCTGCTCCAGGAAATGATATCTGGGCCCAACTTCCTGCATGTCATGGTCCCTGCCTGGCCCTGTGAGCCTGTGTGTTTGCCTCCTTTCATCACAGAACTTTTTAAAAAAATTTTATTTAGTTATTTTTCAAGTACAGTTTTCTGTCTATTTCACCCTCATCACAGAACTTAAGGAGGTAATGATGTTCTATTATCCTCTCACCCAGTGAGGTGTTCATTCTCCTCTTCCAACTAGTAGGTGCTCTGGCCCAGTGCTCAGAGCCTGGAAGGACACTTGGGAATATGCTTTGGCCAACCCTGGGACTTCCTGAAGAGAACAGGAGATACAGAGATTCCCAACATCACTGAGAGGAGATACAGGGTAGGGCTATAGTTGGGAGCCGCTGAGATTCTAGTGAAAAGTCTTGGGCAGAAGCCATGGTATGGATTATACCTACATCTCTTTCGTTGGCCCGGGCTTCTCTTCTGAACTTCAGATCTTGGGATCCCATGAACTCCTGGATACCTCCCCCCTGGATATCACCCAGGGTCCTTCCACCTACTGGGTTCCACACTGGCCTTAGTGTTTCTCTAAACTTACCCTCTTTCCCAAGCCCCCATTTAAGGGGTAGCCCTGCTGACCCCAGTCCTTTCCTGGGCCTCACATGAATTCCTTTCTCCCTCCTCCATCCCAACCCACAAACCCCTGCCCACTTGGCTTCCTAAGTTTCTCTCCCACCTATCCTAAACCTAACCTGCCCACGCTGGTCCTTCTCCTTCCCCTGGGCTCCCAACCTCACTCTCCCCTTCTGATCCATCCTCTAAAAGATGGCCAAGGATATCTTCCTAAAACCAATCCTGACCCTTGATCCTCCCCTTAGAACTCACCACAACTCTGCAGTGTCCCCAGAACAGAGACTGAGCTCTTCAGCCTGGTATTCACAGGCCTCCACGACCCTACCTACCCCTCCCCACATGATCACTGTGGTCAAGCCCCCTATACTTTTCCACCCACAACTTTTTTTGGCATGTGAGGAGTATCTTTATTAATGCACTCCTCAGTTTAAAACACTCCCTTGGCTCCCCATTTCCCTCAGAGCAAAAGCCAACGTCCCACAAGATCTGTTCCCCTCCCCTCCTCTCTTTCCCCCTACCTCCTCTTACTCTCTAGGTATGTCCCAGCCACACTGGCCTCCATGCTGGCCCTTGAACAGGCCATTCAAGGCTTTCTTCTACCTCAGGGCTTTTTCAAAGCTATTTCCTCTGTCTGATTTGCTGTTCCCTCATAAATCCTCATGGCTCTCTCCCTCACCTTGCCTCACTCCTGATATCCTCTTGTTTCATTTTATTACCACTATACCACCTAACATCCTACATCATTTTACTATTATATTTTGTCTGGATTCTGTGCCTTTCCCACCAACATTAACATGCCAGTCCTGGATTCCCATAAACTTGGCCCCATCGCAAAATGAGTTCCTCTTTCTCACCTTCGGTTTCCTCATCAACCATATGGCCGACTTTTTGGATTACTGGGATGCAGTGACTGGGAAAATTAAAAGCTTCCCTGTACTTCAGGCAGTCAGTACAATGCTTCACTCATGGCCACTGCTGGAAATGGAGAAACTGGGGCACAGCCAAGAAGAGTCCTTCTCAGGATCACACGGCTCGGGATTCCCATGTCTTACTGCACTACACTGCTTGAGCCACAACCAATCTCTAAAGGTATTTCGAGCACAAACCAGGAATGCATACAGGTGGCGAGGAATCGCTCAACGCCTGACTCAGCAACAGAAGCGCTGACCGTCTCACCGTCGGAAGCGCTGAAGGGAGACGTAGCGTTGTCTGCCTTATCGCGATAATCCTGTCTATCAGGACTCCCATACCCTGATCAGTTCTGTGCTCCTTTACAGGCCCCTGATGTCTGGGTCCTCACCTGATTTCTCCACTTTCACCTTCACCGGGAACATGGTCTGTGTCTGGGGTCTCGCTAGCTGGGTCGGAGGAGCCCCCAAAATCCTAGGGTCACAAGTCAAGGCCACAAGCTGACGGTGAGCGGTCAAATGTAAGCTTCGTGTTCGGTATGTCCTCCGCCCTGAGCAACCTGTAGCAGCAGTCGCTTGTTCCCATTAGTCAGTGCAACAGTCGATCTAATACTCTGACCAATTAAGTTAACGCCATGGGCTCTCAGTCCTAAGTCCCACCTTCCTGGGAATCCGTTTCCGGAAACAAACTAACGCCATCTCCGAGCGCTTTCTGGGAGGTGTAGTTCAAGCTCCGGAGACTGAGCGCCTGCGCCGCGCGAGGCATGGTGGGAGGTACAGGATTGAGGCACCGCGAAGCTTTCTGTAATATGTAGTGTAATATGTAGCTTTGAGTAACACCCATTTAAGTACTAACGGGGCTAATTTAACTGTGGGAGTTCCTCTTGCTCCAAAACGGAAGACAAGCCTGGAATTAGGTTTCGTTCTCTCTTAGCATTCGTTAGGTGACAACTACCCATTAATCTCCTTTCAAGCACAACCTCATTCACTCAGCAAGTATGTATTAGTGTCCGAGTCAATCTTCTAGGTGCTGGAGACCGTGTACAAAACAAACAAAAATATTTGCCCTAATAGAGTTTATAGGGGATGGGAGATAAACAATAAACAAGTAAAACATTTTAAATGAAATGTAGTAGGGAAAGAATTTAGCCTGAAGGAACATACTGAGTACCAAGGTAAGGACTGAAATTTTACATAGAATGGTCAAGGAAATGTTTTCTAATAAAGCAGACATCTTCTTCAGAAAATGGTAAATTTCAATTTACTACACATGCCTTGATCACATTTGAACCATGGTCCACATTTCAGATGAGAATACTGATGTCAAATGGGAAAGTACTGTTTTCAAACTCACAAAAATACCAATACAGGACAGCAGCCCCTAGTAATAGAAACATTATTCCTTTCTTAGTTCTGCATCTGTAAAATAAGTTTCTGGTTCAAGACAGCTCCCATTTCAGAGGGTTATGAGTAGTACTCAGTGAGAAAAATGCCCATAATGTGTGAAGCACTAAGCCTGAACAAAGTAAGCGATCAATGAATGTTTATGAATATTAACAATCATTTTCTGTGTCAACGTCAAAAACATCCCAGGAGTCAACATAGAGAATTAGGGTTGTTTATTGGGGGATGACAACAGAGAAAATAGGATATGGGAATAAGAGGAGCTCATCCTGGGAGAATGATCAGATCTCAGGCCTGTGCAAAAGAAGTTGTCAGGGGGTACCCAGGGGTATGGTGAAGGAGAGGTAGTCCCCAAGGGCGCCCCAACGGGACCGGTAGATCTGGAAGATGGTGATCCAGGTAGTGAGTATAATTACCCAGAAGAGGAAGCCTACAGCTGAGCGCCAGACATCTGTAAGGGGTAATAAGAGTGGGGAAAGTAGGCTTCACATGCTTTCTGGTTACCCCCAGACCAGCTCTCTCTTCTCTTCTACAGAGCCCTAGAATTCTGGAACTTCCATCATCGACCCCCACACCAAAGGTCCAAGTTTCCGCCCCCCGCCCCCACGGTCTTCTTTCAACCGCGCCCTGGACTCACAGCCTTTGATTTGGCTCTGTTCTGTGTACGCCGGTACAAGGAAGGCCTCTCGGAAAAACCAGAAGATGTTGACAAGCCAGAGAAAAGGCAGGAAAGCAAACCCACCTGGAGAGAAAAAAAAGTATTAGGGGACTCAATACCTGAGTCCCCTCATACCCATCTAGAGGACTTCCAAATAAGGAAGGTCCTCTCCCACACCCAAATTCAAACTGAGATCTCTGCTATTAGGGACTCAGGTATCAGGGATCCTCCATAGAACCCAGGAATCTAACTCCTCAGCCCTCTCTCAGGACCCAGGAGTCCAGCCCCCAAATCCCCTCCTCTCTTGGGACCAAGAAGTTGAGGCCCAGCCTCCTCCTTCCTCAGGTCCCGGGCCTTTCCCTCAGACCCAGGAATCCGCACCCTCAGCCGCTTCGTTCGTCTTAGATCCAAGAATCCAGACCCAGAGACCCTGTTCCCATCCCCTCTCCTGGGATCCTGAGAGACTGGTCCTTACCTAGGTAGTACTTCCGGCACAAGTTCAACTTCTCCTCGTTGGACACCCGCTCCAAGTTCATAGTTGCACTGGGACCGGGTCGTCCCGAGAATCTGAGGGACAAGACCCGAGCCTTGACACTACAAAATGCAAGAATCGCGAAAATCCACGCCCCTTAAACAAAACAGATAAATTGAAGTGTGGGTTTGCTTAAAGTGCGGCACCCTCACCCCCACCAGCAAGCTGAATGGGTTGAGGGCTCTTTATGTTTATCGGGATGCAACAAAAGACCCCCACCTCACCTGCGGTGTTCACTTCCTCCGGGGTGAATGCCTTTGCCACTTTCAGCTAGGGACGTTTGCTGTGATGCCCTAAGTATCTCTCGAGTTCGTAGTCTTTTTTGATAGGCAGCACTGCACGCATGCGCTTTCAGGGAATTCCGGTCGGCGAGTCTGAGGAGCGTTGGCCTTCAACACGCAAGCGCACTGTGGAATTTCTGAGGGCAGCGAAAAACTACACTTCCCAATGGTCTTAAGCAACGGAAGTGGTTTAAGAGAAGACAGCGAGTGTTAGAGGGTTTGAGTAAAAATGGCCGAATATTTAACTTCAATATCCTGGACTGAGGACTCGTGAGAATGGGTGCAGGCAACGGCCACCTGGGGGCCGGGAATAGCACACTGGGTTTTCTCTTTGCTAGGCGGAGTGGGACGGTGTTTCTGGGGTATCCGGTTTCCTAGTCCTCGGTTCACTTCTGTCTCTGCACCTTTTCCGGGTTAACTGCTCTTTTTAAGATCGGGGCCCGTTGGCTACACAACAAACAGACTTTCTGGCACGGAGCTGAGGGGTTAACGCCTCGCGGTCGTTCCCCTCCTTGTGTCCATCATTACGAGGTCCCGCCTCTTCCGTATTTCTTAGGCCCACCTTACCGCTGACCCCAACCTTCAGGCCCTTCTCCCACGAACTAGGCCACGCCCCCAACGTACAAACTACACCTCTAGGTTGTCTCATTTCCTGGCCCTCTTCTGGTTTCCTTAGGGACAAGCATCGTGGATGCATTCAGGATGCTTAGGATTCTTCTCTGGTGCAAGGTCCCACCCCAACCCCTTTGCACCTAGTACCCCTCTTTGCTTAGTACCCCTGCTCCTCTTAAATTTATTCAGAATGTAATGCTGCTCAACCTGCACCGGCTTCCACAGAACACTGCCCAAACCGCAGAAAGATAGCACTGTGAGTGAGGGACCGGTCTTAGGGGGAGGGCAGACAGTCCTCAGCAGACCATCACCTGATTCTACCCTACCCCCTCCTCCAGGTCACGTAAACAACGTGGAGGTGCAAGAACACATAACTTTTCGGAGGTGAGGACCTGGCAGGGGTAGGTTGAGTTTCTTGTGGGCCAGGAGCTCAGCTGAACACCTCCTGGTCTCCGCAGGAGTTCCTGGAACTGCAGAAGTACAGAGAGATTTAAGTGATGAATGTGTGCAACACTTAGGAGACCACCTCATTGGCAATGTCTCTGTCAAGGTGCCTCTTTTCCCTCCATTAGATCCCAGAGGTGGAGGTGTTTCAACGCCTAAAGGCCACCACTGAAGCCTCATAGCTTGAGGTCCATCACTACTAAATCCCGTCCAGCCCCAGAACTGCTAACTAATCCCCTGAAGATTTCAGAGTTTGACTGCTGACCCTGACTGGCTTTCCAATCAGTTTCCACGTGAAGAGGATGCAGAGCAGACAGTAGCTGAATTCAGTAACTGTTTGTTCAGTGGGCAGGCTGTGCATACTGAGCTGTCTCCTGTTACTGACTTCTGGGAGTCATGTTGTTGGCAGTATGAGATGGGGTATGGCAGCACAGAGGCACCTGGAATCCCAGACTCCTGTGTGTGTATGTTGGTGGGGCTGTCGTTTATGATGTACTCCATCCATCCATCTATCCTAAACCCAGAGAAAGTACCTTTGGTGGCTTCTGCAACTTCATTCACCTGCAACTCACCTCCCAGAACCTCAGCCAGCAGCCCTATGGGTGGAAACCCAGGAGCAGGTATCAAGACTTCTCAAACCCTAATGCTCCTATATCCTGAAATGAACCTGATCCTATGCCCCCAAAACAGTGTCTCCAGCCTCTGGTATCCTAATACTAGCACTGAACCCCATTCCAAGACCAGTACCTAAGTCCCAATTCCCAAGTCATTCTGAACCCCAAATCCAAGTCCAGCTTGGATCTCTAATCCTGAAATTAGCCCCTGAGTACCACATCCAGGAACTCTAGTTACTTCATCAACTGCTCTGCTCCATGCCTCTAACCCTCCTCTCCCCACTCCTGTCTCCAGATCTCCCCTGAGGTCTCATACCCACCACCACCCCCAAGAAAGAAACCAGTGATGTTTCCCAGATGACTAGCATGGCCACTTCTGAGATCCTGGCCTTCTTGTCTTCCATGCCTGACAGGCACAGATGTTCTTGGCCAGAACCCCTCCTCAAAGCTCCTTCAAAGCCCCAAGGTCATCTTTCCCAGCCTCTGGGGTCTACCACCCCTCCCCTAATAAAGTTCAGTATTGAGGGTTTAGAGCTTGAGCCTTGGGCTGGAGTTTCCTTCCTCCTTCATATCTGACGAAAAGAGGAAGTAGGCGGGGTATCTAGCCACAACAGCAGCTGAGAAGCTTCAGTGGACTAAGGTCCCAATGCTTTAAAAATCCCCAAGTGGGACTAGTAGGCCAGGGCCAACTTTGTGCTGGAAACTTCACATCTATCTGAGGCTTTTCAGAGGGAAGACACCTAGTTGCGGCAGGTTGGAGGATTCCCAGCCCAGAGAAGATTGGGGTTAGGAGCTAAGGTAAGGCCACTTGGAGTTGAGTGGGAGTCTTTAGTGGTTGAGACCTGGGTCCTCCATCCCAATTCCCTGAAATGGGAGTTAGTAATACCTAATACTTAAGTTTACCATGTGGCAGGTGCTGTCCTAAGAGATTTTTTATTTTATTTATGTTTAGAGAGATGGGAAGGGAGGGAGAAAGAGGGAGAGAAACATCGGTGTGTGAAACAGCAATCGGTTGTCTCTTGTGTGCCCCTATCTGGGGATCTGGCTGGCAACCCAGGCATGTTTCCTGACTCAGTCAAACCAGTGACCTTTAAGTTTGCAGGCTGGCATTCAATCTGCTGAGCCACACCAGCCAAGGACTAAGACCTTTTTCAAAATCATTTTTTATTTTTCAATTATAGTTGATTCTAGTAAGGGTTTTAATTCTTCATAATCCTATGAGACAGGTAGTATTAACTTACTCTATGGATGGAACATGGCAGAAGTGGGATATGTAGCCTCACTGGCTTCAGACCCCTTGCTCTAGCAATCTTGAGACCTTGTGGCCTCTGATAATGGGCCAGAAGGACTGGTGGCTGGGGGTAGATTCACGACTTCTGCAGGGGCCTAGGGGTTTCTATGTCCTCATATCCACCACTTCCTTCTCCCTGGTTTCCTGGAAAAGTGTCAGAGGCGCTGTGGCGGAAAGTCCTGTGATGGAAAGTCCTGTGGTTGCGGGCCCTCTGGCTGCAGGCCCTGCCCAGATGGGGCTCCAACACCTCCTCTTGTCTGTGGCACTGTTCTTGGCCCAGACAGTGCCGCAGGAAGCCTCCCAGCACTGCAGCCGCCTGGAATACTGGAACCCTGACAACCTGTGCTGTGGCAGCTGTCTGCAGCGCTTCGGTCCACCCCCATGCCCTGGTGAGGAACAGGAACTGGGCATATATGTACGCATATGTATGCATATGTTTCTGCTGAGCAAGGGGGTGATAGCAAACCAGAGGACAGAGGTTTGAGAGCCTCGCTTTGGGGTAGAGCTGGTAGGCCTTAAGCACAAAAGGCAGGTATGGGCATTGAGCCAGTGAAAAAGGGTTAGTTACATGAGGGCCACCGCTAGGGTTTCGTGGCCTGTTTGGTGGGGTCTGGGCTGTGAGAGAGCGGTGACCTATGCAAGTCAAGTCCCTGTGTGGGCGCAGCTTGGCGTGGAAGCAGGAGGGGCATTAAGGGTGTCAGGGCAAGTGTTGGGAGGGGAGAGTGGAGGGTCTGCTGATGGGTGGGCAGAGTACAAGGGGCGAGGCCTACTGGGGTAGGACAAAGGACCTTGCAGAATTGGATCTTGGAAGCCACATATGAGACCCTGTCTTCCACTAGACTACGAGTTTTCGGAAAACTGTGGGCTCAATGACTTTGGTGATCACGTAATGCACCCCTTCAGAAAGTGTCCTCGTGGGCAATGCAACCCCAACAGCGCAGAGCTATGTAGCCCCTGTGGCAGCATAGCCAGGGTCCCTACTCCAGCGGAAACCCTGCGGCGCTGTGGAGAGGTACTGGTTGGGCTTGGCTCTGGAATGCTTGGGCAAGGGTGTAGCCTGCAGCAGGTAGGGTGGGCGTGGTCTGGATCAGAGGTGGGTAGGCCCACTGAAGAGGATGGGTTGGGGACATAATTATCTGGGGGTGACTAGTTAGGGTTAAAGTAGTGTGAGGGCTGGATCAGGCAGTGATGTGGCCCAGTGGAGGGTTTTAAGGAGGGGAGTTTTGGGCTGAGGAGGTAGGATTGGGCGGGGTGTGCCTCTTGCTTTATTCCAACCCCCTATTTTCAGGAGCCAGCTCCTACCAAAGAGCCCTGTCCTCTGAAGCCTGAAACACCCAGTGTCCTAAGCTCCCAGGAATCCACCTCACTGATGATTTCCAGCCCATCGTGGACGTCTGAGCACACTGCCCCTTGGCAGGTCTTGCTAACTATTGCCCTGCCCCTGGTGCTGGTTTTGCTTGTGACCTCAGCCACCATCCTCCGGCTCACTCAGCAAAGGCATAGCCCCCATCACCAGGGGAAAGCTGTCCACCTCTATCCTGGCTTGACTCATGGTGGTCCTAACACCTCTCCAGATTCTCCGGAGGCATCAGAGGCAGGTGACTGACTCAAGGAAGGTGTCTGCTTCCATTCCTGGGCAGGCGGTTGGTTAGTCTTGGGCATGCTGAGGGGAAGATGGACAGGGAAACCCACCTTTTTGCCCTCATGCCTCCTTTTGTCTCCCAGAGCTGCCAAATCTTGCATCGAAGCCCCTGTCTTGCCTCCTGGATGAGCTGGAGGTGCTGGAGGAGCTAATTGTGCTGCTGGACCCTGAGCCTGGGCCAGGTGGGTCAATGGCCTGTGGTACCACTCGACATCTGGCTACAAGATATGGACTGCCTGCTGCCTGGTCCACATTTGCCTACTCACTGAGACCCAGTCGCTCACCTCTGCGATCACTGATTGAGATGGTGGTAGCAAGGGAGCCCTCTGCTTCTCTGGGCCAGCTTGGCACACACCTGGCCCAACTAGGGCGGGTGGATGCACTGCAGGTGCTGTCCAAGCTTGGCTGATCTGGGGCATGCCTGGCCTAGCACTCAATCAGGATTCCCTTGAAGAGCCTGTTTCTTCCTACCAGACTCATTAAGGTACCCTCTTGAAACATAATCCTGTTTGGGCCAAGATGTCCTCATTCCCCAACCTGCTCAGAAAAGGGCCTATCTACCCTACACATATAACCAGACATGGGAAAGCTGGCTTCAGGTGTCTCTGGGGAACCAGGGTACCCTCGTGAAAAAATACTCCTGCTACCCTTGGGAGAGCTTATCCACAGGGACCCAGCTGGGTTCTAACTAATATGTAGAATATTTGTTGCTCTGAAGCCTTGACAGGTCTGACAACTTATTTCTAATCCTGCACAGTGGCTTCTCACCTACCTGCTGAAGCTGATGGCTTCCTTGGCTCAAAATGGGTGTGGGGCACAGAGAAATGGGAGCTCCTGCCTGCTCCCAGCACCATACAAACCGGAAGGCCACCTCTCCAAACATTGACAGACTTTATTGTGGGGAGGTTCCCACCTGGGATCCCACCCTCTTAAATAAAAAAGTGCATAGAAAAGAAGGGATTTAGAAATTTTTGTACAATATCTACATTCTGGGCCCTGAGGGCAGGAAGGGAGCAATTGCTGGGTGGGCTGGAGGGGTGGGGAACAGGGCCCTCGACACCTGCAAGCCCACATACACCCTGAACATGAGGGTGGGGGTGAGATGCTCTGGAAGGGACTAGGGAATCCTCCAAAACAGGGCTGAGATGGCAGCAGGGGTGGTGGGAGGTTGTGTGTGGGCAGCCACAGTTTCAGTTAAGGAACCGACGGCAGCGCTTGGCGCCACAGTTGCAGGGCAGCTTGTTGCTGGCATCCTCAATGGGGAACTTGTAGTCATAGGTGAGCTCCTCACCACGCAGGATGCGGCGCAGGGCAAAGATGACAATATGCTTCTGGCCTTCTACATGGATGACTCGAGAGAAGCAGTTGGGCTCACAAGAGTGGTTGATGAAGCGGGCGGCATTGCCATGCATTGTGGCATCCACCACATCAAAGTCATCCATGCGGAACATGTAGCACCCAATACCCTACAGGGACAAGGTGGGGGCAGTCAGGTGCTCTGTTCCCATGGGTAGGTCCTGCTTCACCCACCTCATTCTCATGACCTGGCAGAGCCCACCTTCCCATCGTAGAACTTCTCCCGCTTGTCAGTCAGCACAGAGCGAATGACAATACCAGAGTATTCAATGACCATCTCGCCAGCATCGATGTTGCGCTTACAGAACAGGCCCCGCCCATGGATCGCAGATCTGCAGGGTAGGATGGGCAAGGGGAGCTCAGGGGGAAGGGGGACAGAACCAAGGCAGGCCCATAGCAGGGCACCTGTCATCCACCCAAGGGGCATCATCCCCACAACTTCACTAACCTATAGACACCCACAGCTTCTTTGGATGTCTTCTTGAGGTGGCGAAAGCGCATGGCCATGGGCAGCTCCAGGCTGGTGGCACGTCTGGTGGGAGACAGCAGTGTCGTACAGGCTGGTACCCAAGAATGACCTCTCCTGCCCCTTGTCACCCTCTTTAGGACCCTTCCAGACTACCCCAGCATCCTGGCCTGCCCTCCATACCTAGTTGATCTGAGCTGCACCTCATCCTCCTCCTCATCACAGGTGGCTCCCTCAGGTAGCACCCTGTGCTGGGAGGCCAGGAAGTTGAACATGTCGAAGGTACACTTCCTGCAGGTAGAAGGAAAAAATGGAGGGAGGTTCATAGCCATTACTTTGAGATGCTATCCCCCTATTCTTGGCCTGGACCTGCTGCTGGCAGAGCAGGAGGAATACCACTACTATTGAAGACAGCAAAAGGGGAATGAATGAGGTTCATTCTTCTGATATGAACTCTAGAAATAATTCCTGGAATGGCCTAGAACTCTTCTCTCAGGCCTCAGTTTCTGATTTGTAGACTTAATTTCCACCCTTGAGATTGCCCATAGGGGTCCCCCAACCCAGGCATCACACCCCAGACCTCTCACCGAAGATACACCTCGGCTCGGGCTGCCCCATGGGGATTCAGCGGTGGCTCTTCCTGGCCCTCTCCCTGCTGGTGGTAACGGAACTTATAGTGTTGGCAGCGCTGGGCCCCAGGCAGCTGCTCTGCCAGGAAGATGACAGCATCATGGTGGATGCCCAGGAGCCTTGCCCCACTCATTCCTAAGGAGAGTCAAAGGTGAAAATGCATGAGTCACATCAGAGGCCCATCTTGCCCTCAGAAAGTCATCCCAGCCCCCGAAGTCCCTGTGGACCCCCGACTTACCACTAAAGGAGAGATGTCTGAGCCGGGCATGCCCTCGGGCCTCTTGCACCTTCTCAATGAGAGTTCTCCATGCCCCTGAGAAGGCAGGGCCAGAGCAGACTTAGGATGGTATTCCATGCGAGACCTTCCCTCCCTGTCACCACTACTCCTGACTCACCCTCCAAACTCTCAGCCTCCACACTGAACCCATCCTCACTGCTGATCTCGAAGCGCAGATGCGGGCCAGCACGTTTTGGGGCCTGGTTCTCTTTATCCTCTGGGGATGGAGGCTCTTCCTCAGAGCTTGAAGCCTCACCTGGTCCGAAGAAGCAGGTCAAAGTAGGTAAGGATCACCTCTCCTGGAGTCAAAACCTCCCGGTTCCCCTTTGCCCTCTTTCCCTGGGCACAAGCAGACTTGGTTTGAAGGCCCCTGTTCTAAATGCCCAGTGAACCCTACAGACCAAACTTAATTTTTTCCTGAAGGGTCTGCAGTCCCTTTCTATAGGACTTCTGGCGGCCCTACAGGACACACTACGGCTTACTCAAACCCAGTCTACCATAAACATCCAAACTTCATTCTTTTGTCTCATGAAATAGTACAAATATATTAGTATTACAGGACCGTACTCACAGAATCAAATACTTGTGTGTTATGAGCCATTTAAGGGATTTTTCAGCAGCTAAGGATATTAAAACTAGAGTACACAGGATTACTGATGTAGGAGATGTAGATGTGAGAGAAAGAAAGGAAGATGTCAGGGAAAACTCGGAGGTTTGGGGCCAGAACAACTGGAGGATTAAAACTATTATTTAGAGAGGTAATGAGGGTTGGGTAGAAACAAATTTGGGGTAAAGGTTGGGAGCCCAGTTTGGAACATGCTGAATCTGAGATTCCTCTTAGAAAAACCTCCCTGGCAACTTGCTGATCGGGATGGTAAGCAGGCACCAGGATATAAAGGAGTGTGGTTAGCAACTTGGGGGCTATTAAAATTAGAAATGGGATTTAGGGCCACCAAATTAGACAAGAGCAGCCTGGACATGCCAAAGTTAACAGGTCGGGGCAATGAGGAGGCACAACCAGAGAGATGAGGAGAGGGATGGGGTTCTGGAAGCCAGGAAAGAAAGTACTTCAAAGAGGGAGGGATCAGCATATCAGCTGCTGATCAGTTTGTGGGCTGAGGACTGACCACTGTATTTGGATGGAGTGGGGGTAATGTAAGTTTGAGTGTAGCACACTTTAGGAGAGGCAGGACTCACATGGTCATTCTCCTTTCATCACTTCTCAGGGCCAACCTGTCCACATGCCCTCTTTCCCCTATGCCAAGATTCTAAACCTGACTGCTGCTGTGTGATCCACATCATCTCTAGGCCTCAATTCTTCTGAGTCCACCTCTGACTTCTTCCTCTTCTTAGTTCTCTCCCATCCTCACATCCATTCTGTTCCCTGAATAACATTCTCTCTCTGTCTTCTTTCCCAGTGCTCATTCTAGGATGCAGTACACTACCTAATGTACATGTATGTTTCCTCTACCAAAATGTGGTATGCTAAAGGCAGTCAGGGTCTGTCATGGTCACTGTCATATCAGCATGCCCTCTCTGACCCCAGCACTCTTTCAGTTAAGTGGTCTCAGTCTACCTCATGCCACTTCCATGCTTAGCAGCTGTGATCTACGTGATGAGAAAATTCCCATGTAGGGACAGGGCTGGAGCCACTAGAAATTCCAAACCTCAGGCTGCTTGATAACCAGGTTACTTGGCTGTAGCCCTCTCTCTCTCTCTGCCCTCCTTGATCTACAGAGTATTTCTCTTCCAGCTTCATTGAGATTGTCAGCCAAATGATTCCAAGTGCCCTATCTTGTGCATTCCAGGTGCACCTAACCTCACCTCTCTTCCACCTCAGGGGACTCTTATTCAACCCAACCACCATGCCTCCCCTCACCTCCTTTTCCCTCATTCTTGGCTTTGCTGTCTCAGCCTTCATACCAAACCCCTCTAATCTGTTGGCCCGCCTCCTCCCAGACTCCTAGCTGAGATTTTTAGCAAAGTGCCTGGGTGTTGTTTTGATTTCTTCATCAACCACTGCCTTTTGATTCTAAACTCTGACACAATAGTCTCTTACCTTGTCCCACTGGCCCACACAGTACACACCAATCTTGGACCCTGAAATGTCTAGGACCCTCTGTGACAACTGGGATTACTGACTACTTCCCTCCCTGGGCCTCTGAGACACCACTCTCCTCTGACCTCCTTCCTACTGTTCCTGCCCAAACTTTGTCTTTGGTTTTACTAGGTACCTAAACCTCTGACCCCGGAAGACTAGGCTCTGAAGCCCTCCCTGGGGCTCTTGGGCATACTGGACAAGGCACTTTCAGAAGCCCTCTCACCTCAAACTGAAACTTCCTGTTTCTACTACAGACCATAAACTCCCTAAGGGCATCTCTATAATTTTAAAACCCAGCCTCAGGCCTGTTCCCAGGTAGGTGTGCAATGTGCAACACCTAGTAGATATATCTCTTTTTATTGCCCCTGCAACCTTGGTGTACTGGGATGACACTCAAACTAAACTAAGCTATACCCTAGGGCCCATTAGGTGTTTTTCAAAGTGTATTAACTCTCCACTGTATCATCAGCTGATCAAGCACAAGGAAGAAAGCAGTGAGAGGAAAAGGCTAGTCCCTACCTGAGTAGTGGTGCCACTGGGGTTCAAGCAGCAGGTCAGAGGAACCATCAGGAGCCTGGGGAGGACCATCCTCTGGAAGTGGCAGCAGAGGGGACTGGTTCTGGAGGGGCCTATGAGGAGAGACCTGTCAGAAGAGAGAAGGGACAGAAATCCCAAAGCTTCCAGAGAAAAAGCACTGGCCACTCACCTCAGGCTTTCCTCCCCAGGATCATCCAGGTTGAGAATTCCACGCACTGTGGGTGTTTTCATCCTCACTCGGCTAAACCTGGTGGTGGTGGGGGAGGAACCACAAGAAGCCTGAGCTGCCTTCTTCTGCCCAAGTCCCTTGCCCACCTCCACAGCCTTAGCATACTCACTCACCCGCTGCCACTAAGCCCTGGACCCTGAGGGGGATCCTCCAAGGCTTCTCCATCTTCCTCCAGCCGGGGGGTCTTGCTTG